TTGAATAAGTTAAATAAGTCCTAATACATTTGTTCCAATACTTTGAGTATAATTAATATCATCTCATAGCAAAAAACTGAAATAAACAAGTCTTCAGTGACTGTTTAAGTTGTTAAACCTTTCACAGTAACATTTAAAAAGCTGCCAGAAATAGATAATATGGTCAAAGAGTAATGCAGGCTTTATTGTTTTTAAGATGATGAACTAATACTAAGAAACAATGTTATTGTACGTTATCAAATTTCGCTAACGACATTTTTTATGTAATTGACGAAAATATTTAGGAGTTTAATAGATTCTTAAAAGACTCTTATGTTTACTCATCTTTTCTGAATTATTCTATTTTCATCCAATGTCCATTTTGAAGATGTAGGATAGTAACATCTAATGTCAACTGTACTGATTCAACGTTATCACTCATAAAACAATTTTAAATTGTCAATGTCATCTACGATAAACGTGATTACATATTAAAGCTAAATAGATTAGTAAATTAAACATTTAAGTTTTATTCAGAATAAATAAAATTTTATTACCGCAAAAATAATATTCTAGGGTGATATTACCTTTAAGATCAGTGGTAATCTGATATTTTATTGAGAGTACCTTCAACTGACATAACTTCAAGTTTTAAGAAAAACGGTGTTCGATCAAGATAATAGACACTTAATAAGTTTCAACATATCACGTATGTTTATAGTATTGCGTTCTAGCTACATGTATAAACTGTAATGATACCTAATCACTGTGTTTAGAAATCATGAACGGAATGGAATAGCGAGATGAAAATGACACTAACGACTAAAAAGTAATATATATATATATATATATATATATATATATATATAGGTCAACTTGAAGCTCTTTTAAATTATATAGTTCTACATGTTTAATAGAGATAAATGTCTACATACCTAGTTGTTCATTATATTGTATGATTGAGAAAATTCCGTGTTCTTTCAGCTTCATTACAGTTAATTTGTTTCAATAAAATAAAGAATAAACAAACATGCTTTTCATAGTTTGCATTATGACTTAACCTTAATTAAACAAATACTAAAAACCAGGAAGCACTAATTTGCTGTTTCATCCGAGAATGGGACTCCTCAAAAGTGTCCATCGACGGCCTAATTAGAAATCAAACCTAGGACTGTTAGGTCTTAGGACAGCATTTTAACCTTTATACCATTAAGTTAGCATCTAGTTGTTCAGAGTTTTTACTTCAATTAATGTGTGCTTACTGGTGTTTAATAGCTGTTTAACTAAAATCATTTGGTTATGTACAATACATAAAACCTAATAATTGCCAGGAAATCCTCATGGGAATAAAATTTTCATTTGTTTTTCACTTTAATCTAATTAGCTTTACATTATGTCTGCATTTACTTTTATTAATTTTGCTAAAATCAAAGTGTTTTTTATCTTATTTATAAAATTTGCCATTCAGAATGCGGACATTAGTTTTGAGTATTTAGAAACAAAGTTAAAAAGATTATGTTGTATTTTAGACGAATCATCAGGACTTTTAGTATAGTTATATTATACTTATTATTTTATATTATATAGTCTTCACATATATGTAAGAAAAAAGTGTTCGGAACACTTTTTTTTAGCTGATATGTATATAAAGATAACATTTTACGAAATCTCAAAATATTCATATTTTTTTCTCATGAGACTGAACGAAAAAAAAACAAGACAGAGTATTTTAATGTTATCTATGTAGGCAAAATATTCTACTAATAGATTTCAGAATTTACTTGAATTGTGAAGAAAGTATTCCAAACTGGTTGTTAAGATGTAAGAGAACAAACATTGAAAGGTGTTACTATCTAGAACTATTTACTGAGAAATTGTCAAACGTTGTTTGAAAGATATTTGTTATAGTAAATGTTATATTTAAAGTAACACCAGGATCTTTATTACGCGGATTTTAAATAGTTATCAATGTGTGGTACTTAGGTAACAGACAATTTACAATTCAGTAATATGATTATAATTATTTTTTTGAAGTATTCTCTCTGTCGAAATTGTAAATTATATATATCCACCAGGTTTCTTTTAAACTTATGTTATCTACTCCAATTTATCCAAATATGAACAAAGCCAGAACAAAAGTTAAAGGAGAATAATATATTTTCTCGATCTTTTACAGTTGCTTACAGTATTATTCATATTTACGTATTACATGGAAATATAATATAAAGTAATCAATAATGTTAGTGGAATGAGCTGCAATGACTGTTATTGATGGTAACTCTCTCTCTCTCTCTTTCTCTCTCTCTCTCTCTCTCTCTCTATATATATATATATATATATATATATATATATATATATATATATATATATATATATATATATATAGGACGAAACACGCGTCCTTGACTTCACTTTTAGCCAAATTTTATTTATTCTATATAGACTTATGACATAATGGCTACGTTCAGACAGTCTACACATGATGTCAACTAAAGCCAATCAAAATTCATTCAAATAATCAACTGCGGGTTAATTCAAACCACTAGAAATTAAATAAAATGTTAAACTGTTGTTTCTGAATACTATTTTTTGTAAGTTAGTTCCCATTCATCTGATAGATAATACTGTTTTTTTGAATTATTATAAATGATTTTTAAAAAAATGTACTGTAGGGTAGATAGATTTATAATGTAGATGTATATTTATTGACGATACTTTCTCAGCGAAGCATTTTATTTCATTTGAAGCGTATGTTTCTGGCATGATTTCAGTATACTGTATATGAAAAATCAAACAAGGTTTTAATTCACAAACCAAAAAATTATTCATGATAAGAAGTGTTCTAGATAAAATTGTAAAATAATTTTTTATTACTTTGTACCACAATGTTTTAGTAAAATAACCATTTTTGTAAGAATAAACCATCGAATCATTCAATTTCAACTTGAGACGGTGTATATCTGATTGTAATTGTTTGAATTCGTAATAAGTTCTGTTTTTAATCATTTAAAGATCCCCTTTATATTAAAAGACTAATATTTGAACGAAGAATTTTTTTTTTGATAAATTCTCTTCAGGTTCTACAATTATATATCCAAATTAATAATCCGAAAATAATGGTTTGAAAATCCTAAATTTACTTGCTTTAAACGATGTACTTTGCCTTTAATCTGGCCCTGTTTTTCGAATTATTAATTTGAATATATAATTGTAGAACCTGGAAAGAATTTATTGAAAAGAATATTCTTTGTTCAAGTATTAGTCTTTTAAATTTATTTCTTTTTTAACTTCGATTTAATTCTTTGCTACAAAACTGATTCAAAAGACAGAAATGTAACTACATTTACCGACAGTATGTAAGGATCAGTCTCAATATCAACACACAATGTAGTATCATTGAGGCTGAATGAACAAAAATGTAATATGTTGATTATAAAGAAGAGAACCAAAATATAAATATCATTACATTCACTTGATATTGTTTGTATGAATCTTCCCATTGATGCTTAGGATTGCATATGTGCATATTGTGTGTTTTGCCTCGATATAGCCTTAATTCACAAGCATTATAAGCTAAGATGAACAGTGGCTATCAGTGGAATCCAGAACTTGCGTTTCGTCCTATTTGGGACTCGTCAGCTTGATGTACCTGCATCTCAGAGTTGATGTTCACTCTGGGACTCCAACCCAATATCTTTCACTTCAAACGCCATCGCGTAATACACTCAACTACTGAGTTCTGATATTCACATGCTTGTTCAATGGTGTGAAGTTTGAATTCACTTGATATTGTTTGTTTGAATCTTCTCATTGATGTTTAGGACTGCAACTGGTCAGTCTCTAATTAGCATATCTGATAGTATTTGTTTGAATTCTTAATAAGTTCTGTTTTATTAATTTTTATATTCCACTTCATTGAATTTGTTTCACAAAGTAATGTTTACTTCGTAGTTTAGATAACAGATAAGAAATAATTTTAAAAAAATGATTATATTAGTAACTTATTTACTTATTCACACATATATGTGCATAAATTTCAATTTCCACATTATTTATTCTATTTTTATTAATAATTTATTTGTTTATCAATTTTTTAGTTGATCTTTATTCGATAAATTATGTTCTTTATTCTTTTTTTTATAATTATGGCTGTCATACTTTGCTTTTTATCTCTTAGTATAATGAAAGTAAATTTCGTTTCTAAAAATATATGAAATAAGATCGACTTTAGTTTATTATATGATGTATAACGAGTGTGATGAGCTTGATCAATCAGTTGTATTAGCTCAAGGCTATATGGTAAATTAAAGATACTAGCGGATGTGTACTATTGACCAGGATTTGACTTGACTTTTTAAAAGGAATGTATAAAGACTGTTAGCTTAAAATGTGTCCTGCTTTCGTGAAAAAGATGATTGAGTTTGTTCATATATTGGATTCGAGATAACTAACTAAAGCTCTGTACCCATCCTTCGTTTTCGTATTCAATTAGATGATTGGACTTGAGTATAGATAGCGAGTATATCAGTATCAGATTTGGTCAACCCTCTAACAAAATAGTGCTATATGAAATGTATTTCATTAAATAAAAATAAGCCAGTATTTTGAATTTTTAAGTATAATTATCTAAGTAAAATTAAAACGAGTTTATTTAGTGTTTATATAATAGCGAAATAAAGAACATGTTTTTCGTTCTATTTCTCGACATCACATAGATGCAACTGTTAGTGTTTAGATTTTCCTTAAAATTAAACTTATTATTCACTATCATACGATAGTCATACAGAGTGATTGATTTAATTTAATCTTTTCACCTTATATTTTTCAAATATAATTTTATCGAACTTAAAAATAACCCAATTATATAGGCCGACGAATTCAATCTGAAGTTGATTATTACTTAGAAAGTGATTTTTACAATTTTTCACTTATATTTCTTTTACATGATTATTTACCCATGAATTTGATTTATTGTAGGTGTTCGATAAATAAAATTTAATTTTATTGAAACTTTGATGGGACTCCTCAGCAGTGCGCATCCATAAAATTACTTAAAATCCCCACAAAACCCTCTTCTGATTTAAGTTTTATCAATTCACTTCTGATTACGTCTTTTTTTTTAAAAAATCATCTGTATGATTATAAGGAGATTTAAAAGAAAACAAATGAAAGAGAATTCAACAAGTGAATTAAACAAACGTACATTTTTGGTATTTCCCTTTTTTGTTTATTTTGGGTGATAGGGTAGTGAACGAGAACACGGGTGGGGACAATGGAATGTATTTAGGCACAAAATTACAGAATATCTCAGTAAAATTTGAGAATTATATTGTAAATAGTTAAATTGAAAACTATCAATCAATTGTCGCAATCTTGACTATTCCTTCTGCAAATATCAATCCATCGTCTCCACTTATTTTTGTACAAGCATTTTTATACCAATTACGTTCCGTTTCCGTTCTTCTATTGAAATACATTCTATGCCTGACCATCATCATATACTATTTATGTTGATATAAGCAACCCACACCACAATATGATTAATTGCAAATAGGTTGTTTAATAAATTGAATAACAACAGAAAAATTTGTAATCTATACATATCATTACAAAAACGAAAGAACAACAAGTATGAACATTGTCAAATATGAATTTAGTAAAATTTATTCACAGGTACATAATAAGTATTTTTAATCCAAGTTGAAAATAATATCTAATATATTATAAAATAAAAGAGCTTACTTGTTTACATACACATTCAATAATGATCATGTGATTTACGTTGAACAGTATCGAAGGAATACATATATGTATATTACAAATACCATGATAAACATTATTATACTTTAAATAAATTAATATACTAGTGATATTCCAATGAGCAGAAAAAAAATAGATTTTCTGATGTTTCTTGACTCAATGTGGGCCACTTCTTCAGACAATAAATAATCTCTAATAATTAGAATAATATAAATATATTAATTTTATTTATAACAATCTACCTTATTACTCAATTTATTCAAGGTCAATGATATCTACAAATGATTATGCTTTATTTATTATTGTCAAACTTCCACTCAACCATTAAAAATTCAAAACAACACAATGAGGTATAAGGATAGAAAATTTTAAACAATTTAAAACTACTACTTAATTAATTATTAAATGTAAATCCCTTTAGATGAATTATATAAATATACATATGTATCTTTAAAGAAAGCAAATATATAACTTTTCCTTCTTAGGTTCTGTATATATACAAAAGATAATGATTAATCTTGAATGATTATATGTTTTATAGACAAATGTGTTCGATTGTTTTATCACAAAAAATGTGAAGCAAAAAAATTTGTGAGAAGTTAGTTTTTCTAGTTAGTTATCTGGTAAAGAAAATAATTTATCATAAATAATTGAATCCTAAATAAATCTATATACAGTTAATTGAATAATTCTATGAAAGAAATCCATAATGATTTTAATGTCTTTTATAAATATGCAAGAAAGTTAGAATTAAAATAAACAAATAACGGAAATGTGAAAACCAACTGGCAAGAAAACATAATGAAAGATATATTGTTGTGAGAGTTTCTCTCTTAAGTATGTACATACTATATGGAATACAAATACACATTATAAGGTGCTGTTCATTGATGTGTTTCATCATCTTAATCGATTTTTTTTAAGTACTGGATAAAAACTTCAAGAGGGGTGTTTGAATTTTTTTTTTGTAGTTTATTTTAATTACTTTATTGTTTTGCAGTTTATTATAAAGAATCCTTAAAAATACTTCATTTTATGATCAAAATTATCTGCAAAATGATTGAAAAATACAAAAATATTTGAGAAACACATAAGTAAGAGTTAGAATTTTTTAAAGTTCGAGCCCTCATACGAGGATTTTGTGTTTCCAGTAAACTGAATTTCCCTTCATTTTCTTTGAAGAAATGTTTATTGATATTATTGATTGATTTAAGTTCATGATCTATATCAAATAAAAATATAAAATAAACAGGAGTTATATTAAATCACTTTTTATAATTAGAAAACTTTAATTTAAGAGAGGAACTTAAACAGTTGAATGAGTAAAGATTCAATGTTGTCTAACAATAGTTTCTATCGTGATCTAATGTCACTTAACAGCCCATTAAAAACTGAAGTTGTCTGGTTTATTGTAATATAGTTTGGATGGTCTACAATCATGAACTTGCATTATGCATAAATAACAGAATCTTGAAAGCTTATGATGAAAATTAAATTATTAAGCTGTTAAATGTGAACCGAATACTTCATTTTTTACAACTTCAGTTAGTTAGTGATATATTTTTATCTTCATCCAGTTCTGTCCACTAATTAGTGTCTAATAGACTATTTAGTTGATTCATTAGTAGTCATCGATTTTGTCAATTCGTCTTGCAGCTATTAATTAGTCAAAGCATAACTAATAATTACTCAATTGATTTTGAGATTTTGTATATTTGAACAATCATTTTCATTGTAAAACCTTGATAACTAAGTTAACTTTCTAATTCTATTTAATGATAAATTAACAAAGATATATAAGTAGGGGTTTTGCGGAGATTTTAGTAATTTTATAGAGTTCAGATCATAAGTCAATTGAAGCTAGACCACCATGGAAAATCTGGAAGCACTGGACGGCCGTTTTGTCAATTTTGTGGATCGTTTGAAGTTAGACATTAACACTGTTGGATGCCCGCCAGCTCAGTGTTCTAGAGGTCAAGAGATCGTGGGCGAAACTGATAGGTCCTAGGTTTGAATCACGCGAGACGGGATCGTGGATGTGCACTGCTGAGGAGTCCTACAATAAAACGAGACGGCCTTCCAGAACTTCCAGGTTTTCCATGGTGGTCTAGCTTCAATTGACTCATGATCTCAACTCTATAAAAAGATATATAACATAGTCAAAAAGTGAAAAAAAACACAAACTACAAGATTTATGTTACATTAACTTGGTTTATTTTTTAAAAACTACTTTACATTAATAAAATCAGAGGAAAAAAATAGTCAATATTATTTTTCCATTGACTTTATATAATAAAAATTAACATCTATTTTGATGTAATTTGATTGTATTATTATCATTATTATTATTAGCCACGTACAAGACTTTTTTATTGTTTTTGAATTAATGTCATGAGGAATAAAACACATTGAAAACATATGCATAATCTTATTTATAAGATTGTTCTGATTATTTTTGTGAGTTTTAGTAAAAAAAATAGAAGGAAAACTATTTCATCGCACACACACACACGCACACACAAAAAACAGATTTTATCATCCTAAAACAGTTGTTAAATATAAATATATTCAAGTGATTTTGTGTTTACCTTTCTTTGTGCGTGTGTATGTGTGTTTCAAAACTAAAAAAAACATAACAACAAACAAAAAGACGTTACTTGCCAACAATTAATTTAATAATTGATTTTATTTTAGGGATGAAGAGAAATGGTGTTTTTATAATTATAACTAATGAGTTAATGAAATAATTTTAAACTGTATTATTCTAATAAAAATTATTATTATTCTTTGTCTAGTTTCTAAGATCTACATCATATTGTAAAAATGTTTAAGTTTAACACTTAAATAATATACTGAACAATACTTATTGAGTATCTTAGTTAGCTAAATAAAAAAAACGGGGGGGGGCTTTCAAACTGTAACAGTCTTTTTTTTTTAAAAAAAAATGTTGATTACAATTAGATAATTTAGTCTAGATAACAATGAATAAACAGGTAATCTTTCATTTAGATCTATTTATTATACTGAAATGTTTAGGAAAAAAAAGGATGTTCACATATTCATGTTAAGTTTTTATGTAACCGTTTGTGATAGAAATTCAAGAAAATTTATTAAAAAAAGCTTATTCAATTTAGATTGATAAGTTGATAATGAAGTTGATTGTTTTTTATTCAAAGGATATACTGTGTTCATTGAATTTAAAATGAAAGATTTTGTTTTGAGTTCATTTTTAATCATAGTTAAATGTTTGTTGAAAGATTTGCTATTTGGTCATATTTATTTGGAATTACTTATCTTTATTTTAAAATGATTGTTATAGCTTAATATAATCAGTCAGTTTGACAGTGTAGTGCAGTAGTTCGTCAATTGTTCCCCTTGATAACCCTTATAATTACATTCTTGACGGTGTATAAAATCAGAAAGCAAAGAGAAGCGGCAACTACAGTTTTATTAACAAATGAAGCACATTGGAGATGGTGGGTAAGCCAACTCGCTTTAACCAAGCGTTAGTCAATATTTATAGTCAGTTAAGAATAGGTTACAGACATGTGATGATTAAGATAAAAAATGTACACACATATATGCTAATACAAAAATAGTCAGGGTTAATAAGTGAATAATTAACAGTCAAAACATGACTCAAGATGGATAGGTAAATTGGCTTGTCCAGAAGCTAGAATAAGGTATATGAGCTTAACATATCAACCGACACTACAACAGTATTATCATTCAATAATTAATTCATACAGTTTGTAAAATCATATAAGAGGTCAAACCAATAGCTGGTTTATAGGAAGTAAATTTTAGGTACCAGATGTTCAGATAGCACAACAGCAGGTAGATTGATGAAGTACATTAAAATATTAAAGTAGTCATTACTATGGAAAATATTTATTCAAGATGGTATAAATAACTTATTTACTGAGAAACGAACGAATAACCAGGAAAAAAAACGAAAATCAGGAAATAACTATTCGTTTTGTTTATGTTCATCATGACGACAATAATCTAAATAGGGTGTGGTTTACTAGGTTGAGATTTTATGAAACATTTTCAGTATCATAATGAGCATTTTTTATCATTATCTTTTGTTCGTTTGATGGAAGAATGTAGCATATTTGAGCATACTTTTCATCAGCGATTTCATTTTAAGCCTAAACGCTTACTATGTTTATGTTTTATATCATGCAAGTTAGGCTTTGCTACACAGTCGATGTTATATCAGATATCTGCTAATAAATCTAACCCCTTAAAGTTAAATATGCAGCTTCCGCACACTAAATTATTAAGTAAAAGACCGACATATTTCATTAACATTAAATACTGTCTTAACAAACAGCCTACTGTAAACATTGTCAGTTTTGCAAACTGTTGATCACAAACTGATGTGAAGTGAATTAATTGGTATTTTGTTGAATAGGCAATAAATATATTTCTTTGTTTACACGTGTTTTTAAAAAATAAGGGGTACTATTGTTCTGTGTGCTACTGATGTTGATAGATATGAGTGGTATGTATCATCAATCGTAAGTGAAATAACTGGTAGCAGAAGGTTAAGAAGATCGAAGAGAAGAGAATGAGAACAGAGAATGATTGGTAAGGAAAGGAAAGAACAATGAAGTCTGAGACGATTGAGTGACATTTGCAAAGGAATAGTCAAGTTTGAGACAATTGACTGAGATTTTGCAGATGGACAATTTACAGTATGGTCCTTGGATTTTATAAAGTGGTTCTGTAATTTTGTGTTAATATACATTTGGTTGTCCCTGTTATATCGTGTGCGTGCCCAGTTGTTATATCGATTGAGTGATATGAACGCCCAATTAGAGAGCAGTGTTTTCATTGATCGCCCAATGATACACAAAACTGTTTGAGCAGTCTTGAGTACTTATCTGTCCTGCTTTCTGCCCAGCCCAGCCAATTAAGTCTAGAACACCAATAATAGCCTCTGCAATATGAATCATTATTTTCAAACAAACTGGGTTTATATACCAAACAAACTGATCACATCGTACCATAAAATAGAAAATAACATTTGTACAAGATTTGGCCAAAAGTGGCTGTGAATAAGGGGGACAGTAATCAATAGATTAGGGATAACTCAAGAATAGTAAATCATATAATAATAGTTCATAGGTCAAAATAAAGCTTATAATAAGAGGAACACAAATACCAATAGTTTAGTTACTTAACAGTTATACAATACGAATTGTACATATCATATTGGTCCATAAATAGTCCTCAGAGTTACCATTCATAATTCTCCACGGGATATATCAGTCCCCATTTGCGTTCTCGTTCACTACATATGAGTTACTAGAAATTTACTGCTTTGATTAATCTAATCATAACTTTATTCTGAGTTGTTTTAATTTGTTATTTATCTTCGTCAATTTTTTTAAACACACATTTTTAGGCATAAATTAATTTCAATAGTTACGAATGTGTTACAATGAACAATGAAAACCTAAATGAAGCAAAGGATCATCCAATGGATTCGCGGTACTAAAATAAAATGCTACTATTGAGATTTATTATTATAACATATCTGTGGTCAGGTAGAGAATTTTAAGATTTCGGAAATGTTTTCTTTTCGAAAATGAAAACTTTTCTTATATCCAGTTAATTTTATCATCTATTATAATTCGTGTAAAACTATTAGCAGTTAAACCTGCCTAAAAGGGGAGAATGATAGCAGGTATATGATTCACTGACGAAATATGACAACATACATCATGATATTACCTAAAACGTCTTAAAATAACTTTGGAATTTTTAATAATATTGTACTAATTAAAAAGAATAATTATGTCAGTTAACTGGACAACTGATTTGGGATGCATAAAAAGTAACAACAACAACAACAACAATTGATTGATAAAATTACCTTTCTCTTGACTTATATTTTGTATTCCGTATTTCGCTCGAACTCTGGATGCCACATCATTTTGTGCATGTTGATCGTGTAAATTATTATTTTTCTGAGAAGGATTTAATTTCCAAAATATTGATAAAAGTTTTCTAAGCTTTGCATTTAATTCAATTTGCTCAAATGAATTGTGGGGATACCTTTTGCGTACTAGATATTAAAAATTCAGAGAAAAATGTATTCATTTAATTGAACCAGATGGAATATATCACTCTGTAATGCACAAGGATGTATTTTTTTCTGTGAAATTAAATATGACATATTATGTTTTCAGTATATTCACGTATGAGCTGTTTAGTTGAAGTCAAAAAAGCTTTAGTCAACGTTTTCCTTCCGATATAGGATTCTTAATAGTACGCATCTTCAACTATACCAAGGGTAGAACTCAGGATCTTAGATCTGACTACGAGTGCATAGCATTAAGGCTAATGAGCTGTCAACTAGCACTTCACAAGTTCAAAATGTTTTAACAACTTTTAGGTACTTCCTAATTTTCGACAGTTCTTCATTTGGTAATTCAAAACGTATTTCATATTTTTATGTATTATAGTTTGATTATTTGAATCAGAAGATTTACTAGTGTTTTTATTTTCATGATAGTTTCTATAACCCATAGAAATTTTATAGACAACAGAATTCTATAGTTTTTACAATAATCTACCTGATATTATTACACGTGTAACTGTTAAATATAATAATAAATTATACAGACCATGATATAAGAACCTATTACATACCCTTAGAATAAATGATATTATTTTCATTTATTCATCAGTTTTATATAGAGTCAATTTACCAGAAGGGGGTTTTGTGGAGATTTTAGTAAATTTATAGTTGAACTCATGAGTCAATTGAAGCTAGACCACCATGGAAAACCTGGAAGTTCTGGACGGCCGTCTCGTTTTATTGTAGGACTCCTCAGCAGTGCTCATCCACGATCCCGTCTCACGAGATTCAAACCTAGGACATATCAGTTTCGCCCACGATCTCTTAACCTCTCGAACATTGAGCTTGCCGATATCCAACAGTGTTAATGTCTAACTTCAACTAAAATCTCCACAAAACCCTCTTCTGATAATAATCATATGCTCAATAGTGCTTGGAGCTTTAGTGAGAATCAGTGACCAGAAGGATTCAACCAGGTCTGTTGTGAGATATTAACTCACTGAAGACAATGGTGGACGATTGCTGAGTTTCGTGGATCGGTTAAAGTTAGACATTAACACTGTTGGATGCCGGCCAGCTCAGTGGTCTAGTGGTTAAGTGATCTGGCTCGAGACGGATAGATCCTGGGTTCAAATCTCACCAGGTGGGATCGTGAATGCGCACTGCTGGGGAGTCCCATACTAGAACGAAACGGCCGTCCAGTGTTTCCAGGTTTTCCTTGGTGGTTTAGCATCAATTGACTCATGCTTTCAACCATGAAAATTAACTTTTCTTGAAGTTACTAGTTTTAATTGTTATTACTGTAATTTTGTATCGGGAATTCTTAAAATTGTAGATCTTGTAAACAAAATGTGATCCCAAAATAAATAATAATGCAAACCATATTAGATCATTCTACACAGAAGTTAAAGTATTCTAAATCTAAGTGAATTTTAACAAATTGTGATACAGAAAGAAAAAGGCGGGAACGTGTTAGCGCACTGTTGAGGAGTCCCACAATAGGACGAAACGTCTGTCCAGTGCTTCCAGATTTTCAATGGTGGGCTAGCTTCAATTGATTCATTGGTTCAACTATGCAGTTTAATTGTCTTGAATTATTGAAATTTATGTATAAGTGATGCAACACTGTTTGAATGTTCAATATTTTCTAAATTTATTTATCAGATACTCTGATAAGTTAATGTCAGTTTATAATAGTTCTAAGTATGTATATTGACAATTAATACATCCACAAACAAACAAACAAATAAAAAGATAAAAGTCTAAACAATAAATCATTTAAAAGAAGAAAAAAAAACGATAATCCAGGTATTAATTACCATCAGTGATATAAATCATTATATCAATTATTTATTTATGTTATTTCATTGAATGTGTATATCTTAAGTGATAGAATCATTATTAATCAACATAATAAAAGACTGAAAAAAAGCAACACAATAATCAAAAACTTTTTTTTTTAATAAATTAATAGTGACAGTTTTAATGAACAAGTTTTAATTTTATTTTTTGTTTTAATTAATCTTGATTTAAAGTAAAGAAAAAAGAATTATACACTGAATGATAATTATTTAATATATTTCAAAGTTGAAATCATGAGTCAATTGAAGCTAGACCACCATGGAAAACCTGGAAACACTGGACGGCCGTTTCGTCCTATTATGGGACTCCTCAGCAGTGCACATTCACGAACCCACTCTCGCGAGCGAGATTCGAACTCAGGACCTACTAGTCTCGTGGATCAGTTGAAGTTAGACATTAACACCGTTGGATGCCAGCTCAGTGGTCTATCGGTTAAGGGCTTCGGCTTGAGACTGGTAGGTCCTGGGTTCATGTCTCGCTCGCGAGAGTGGGTTCGTGAATGTGCACTGCTGAGGAGTCCCATAATAGGACGAAACGGTCGTCCAGTGTTTTCAGGTTTTTCATGGTGGTCTAGCTTCAATTGACTCATGATTTCAACTTTGAAATATACTGAAATCTCCACAAATCCCCTTCTTATTATTTAATAATTAATAATTTTTGTTATTGAATGACATAATCGGTAGAATTGATGTAATACTAAGGGTAGTTAAGAACCTTTTGGAAATTTTCACAATTAACTAATGAGAACATTGAAACTAAACTAAAGTAACCATCAAGTTTGTTGAGTTTTTTTTCACAATTGTCGATGTCGTAGATTCTATAGATATTAGAATCATGCTTAAAAGTTTAGAGCTAGTTGCTAGTGAGTATACGTTTATAGTTTCAATAGATCACATGCTAATATCAATTTAGGGATTGTTAACAGATTAGAAACATTGAATGGGTATTTCATCCAAGTTTATTAATTGAATGTACGTGAGGCTATTAGTATCATTTTGTTTATTCTGTTCTTAAATTACAACTTTTTATTTACTTGCTTGTACACTAACATTTAATTAAATAATCATATGGAAAATGTTTCCTCAAAATTTTTGACAATTAATTGGGTCTCAAGTTATTAATCCCTTCAGGCATATCGGATGAATTACCTAGTGTAAAATGATTAGTTTAGTATGTAAAAAGTTAAAGAAGTTATTTAGCATGCAAATTTTATTCACATAAACTTAAAGGACCCAGTTTACTATGTCTTCACCATCTTTACCTCTTACGATTTGGTTGTACGATTGATAATAATGGTTGGAACATATAATTTAATGAACACCATATTGTTTGGATTGTAACTTGGTTGGTAAAAATTTATTAGCACAAAGTACTACATGTAACATTTGTTTATAATAATTTTTTTTAGTATCAAAATAATAATTCAGCAGACATGTCTTGCCAGAGTAAATGAACAATAATATCTCTGACTGTAAAAATGAGTGACCTATATATGAATCTCATGGGAAACGATAGTTTTGTTAAAATTCCAGATGATTTTTTTAAAATGTGTATTAGCTAACACGAAATACAGATTAAAGAATAGCTTCTAACCGTCTAAAAGTAACTATGGTTGACTATTATTTGAATTTAATCTGACCGGAGACTACTTGGCAAGTGAAATTTAAATCAGAATTGAGGATAAAATGTGACATTGGTTTTTATCAAGTTATCATTTAGCATAAGTTCATAATCTTTATTTTTGATGAGAGATATTATAAAGAGAAATTTTATAGTATTGAAAACTGAACTACAACTGGAAGATAGGAGATTCTTAATATTTTTCATAGAACTTTGCGAAGCTATAATTACTAGATGTCGTTATAAGTACTGTATTAATCTTTCTAACAAGCACTTATTTCCTTAATTGAATAACGAACCTTAAACGTATTAGTTTATATAGTAACTAGTAAGAACTAGTCAATTATTTTGAGTTTAATTTTGTTCACTTTGCCATGTTATTATTGCTATGAAAAATAGTGTAAATCCACATGTACCGGACATGAATATTTATGAAATTTGTTATTGTTCAAAAATGATTATACATTAATATTGGATGCTTATTCAATCAATCCTTATTTGAGAAGTACTAATACCAATTATCTATGTGAGTCAAAAAAGCAAGTGAATAACGAAGAGCACTAAACAATTATTTCTTTGTTGTTTAGAACTTGTCAGAGGTGACCATTAAGCGCGTAAAATACTATGCACTTTAACTCATTTCATTGTACCCACTGCATTATTTAATCAGTAAGTTTCATTGTGGGGGTTTACATTACCAACTTTGGTTAAAGATTGATACTGCTTAATAATAATATAATGTCATCGGTGGACAACTCCTTTCATGCTTACTTAGTTGAGAACATCGGTCTCAGATTCTTGCTAAGTCTTTCGCCAGCAAATCCAAAGCTACTTAATTAATCGATGATCATGTAATCACCGAAGATTTATGATTGTCAACTATCATCATTTTGAAACTCAATAAGTGTCGACTTTTACTTTAATTCAAGTAATGAGGAGTCCAAATAGGCTCAGGGATATTTTTCACTACCAAATACAAATGTATTTGGAGCTATTATATTTAAGAATTGTAACAATGTAGTAAAAAGCTAAGATATTTTCTTGAGTTAACAAGGTGAACTAAAAAACCTGAAAAGAGATATAGTAATTTCTAAAGTACTAACCCATCACTATCTCATTATATCATTTTATTCGTAGCAATCTGTAAAAATGAAAATGTTGGTATGATAAATACACACTGAAGACTATGGGATTCTTCAAAGAAACTAAAGTCACGCTTTATTGGAGTATAAAAATTCAAAAGGATGTATCACGATGGTATAACAAGTATTTCAAAGATGTGATATAACTATTTTTTGTTAGTATTCAGTTTTTTTTCTTTGGAAAAGACATTGAAGCTTAGGAGTTTTCTGTTCTGAACATATTTAGTCCAATTTGTAATGAATGTCACGTTATAGTAAGCATAAGGACTAAGTGGAGTTTGTAGGTGATGATTACTTTTGTCATCTAGTTGGTGTGGTGTTGTATAATAAAAAGTTTGATTATTTTCACTTTTTACGGAGCCAGAGGAAGACAGCAATTTCTGAATTTACCCTTCTACATTTTCTTTTACCATTGTTTTCCCGAGTGATTTGATACACTTTTATGTTGTTTTTAACAACCAAGTTAAACTAAGTGGTGCATTTATTTGTGTATTGCTTCATGATTCTCAGAGGATTGAATTAGCTAATATGCATGTTTTATCAATGAGATTAACATAAACAAAAACCAATGTTGTCTTCGGCAATTAGTTTTGAGATGTGATTATTCCTTTCATCACTGAATAAATACGTACAATGTTTTGAGCGAAGTTAATTACGTTAGTGAAGAAAGTAAAGTTGATGTATTTTCTTTTGAAAAGAGAAATGAATGTTAATTAATAGTTAAAAAAGGTTTTAAAATGTTCTTTGTGCAAGATATGTACTTTGATTACATAGATAAAGCATAAAAATTACGTATTAGCCAACAAAAGATGTAACATGGTTACATATAATGAGGGAAGATAAGTTCTGAGTAGGTAAGTAACCATACTGTAGTCAAGTAAACTACCCAACCTAACTTCCTCAGTTGAACACATCTTTCATACTCATACTTAATATGAAAAATATGACTTGGGACATGATTTAAAAAAGTCACAACTTAAATATGTATGGTTATATAACTATTGAAAATAGCCTAAATAGGGCTAAATAATATACAAGCAATTGACTTACTGATAATATCTAAAAATGCTCTGTCTATGATTTTTTCTTGTCCATAATTTGCTGCTTCATACACTCTACATTCATAAAGACCACCATCATTTTCTTTGGCTGACTGTACAGTAAGAAGTACTTCACTACGATAGTTATAATTTAATTCACCGGTAACTTGTTTATAAATGGTTATTCCAACCGATGATCTGCTGGTGATTTGTTGAAATGAATAAGCAAGTTCACCAACTACATTACTGATATTACTGTACTTTGAATTGTGTGAGTTTAAATCCGATTGCATAGATAAAATGTTGTTAAATACTTGTGGATTAACCAATATCATAGGTCGACTTGAAGAGCTTTCAATTGAATAAGTTGGTCGGAACCAGTCTACTGCTATATTAACTGATTTATCTTTTGTAACATACACTGAACAAGTGAGATTAAATGCAGATCCAATAGTAATCAAGGTTGGAGATGATATTGTAACTTTTTGAAAAAAAGAAAAAAAGACTTTATTCATGTTATCAACAAAAGATCGGTAGTTATTTAGTTATAAACCAAAAATTCTAGATAGCAAACAAAAACTTAAATCTATCAAGTTAGAAATTTCAACAAAAATGATCATTTTCTAACCAACTACTATGAGCTGGAATAGTTTAGTACATCATTGTAGACCAAGATTCATAAAAGGTTGTTTTTCTTTAACCTGAGGATGCTTGACAGCTGATACTTTCAAGCACTCAAATATTAGGTTCAGTATTTTTATTTCACCTAAATAAGACAATTTATAGATTTTATGTTTCATTAACCTAATGACAGTAATGAAACAAGCACTTATCTTTAAAATGTTTCCCCATTACTATGCATTTGTTTAATATTCCATATTTCTCATTTATGTGAAGTTCATTGAAAAATTAGTTGAATCCACAATTCGAACAGTCAAAGGATCACTAAGAATTTGATTTCCTTACAGATGTTGTTTCTTCATGATTAGAAGTTATTATTATCAAATGGAGAATAGTTTAGACTGCTAACTAAGGAGTGTTAGATTTTACTTTCTATAGTTTAGATGAAGCTAGATAGAAGTCTAACTTAATAGGCTGTATAAATTAGAAACAATTAAGAATGTATTGTAATAAGTTAAATGTTATTTATCTAAACTCATATAGATAGATAACCATCACTAAAAATCAATAGTAAACAAGTTACCCGGATTCGGATTAAGAACTGACTAAATCAGAATTGCCCAGATGGTAAATAAATTTTTCATTATATGCTTGGTTAATCAAATTAAACTGTGAAGAATACAGTTATCATGCCAATCAATAATCAAAATTAACTTAATTGTTATTGTTAAATAAATCACCATATAGGTAAGCAAATGAAAAGTTGTAAACACAAAAATGAATAATACAAATTGATGTAAATTAGTATAAATACGAACACATCCTTATGCCTTAGACATGTTAATAAACCTTAGACTCTAACTTTAAACAAATATACAATTTGTACCACAGATGTAAGTCGAGCCTTCAGGATAGTTGATGTAGACAAGCAATTGTTTTCAAGTATACATTTCACAATAGAAAAAGGTTTTCAGCAAATCCGAAAATAAGTGACAGTTTAAATATTTATTTAGTCTTGACTAAAAAAGAATATTAATAAATTAATTTGTATTCTCACTAGTTTGAAGTTGAGTTTCAAGCGAGAAACCTGTCAACTGTGTTTATGTAACGGTCCGACATTCTTTTTAGACATTTAGTTGATTCTTTTGGATAAAAATGTTGGATGAAAGAAAGTTTTAAACATTACTAGACTTAAGTAGAGATGGATAGTGGCTAGCAGTGGAATCCAGGACGCGCGTTTCGTCCTATTTGGGACTCGTCAGCTGGATGTACCTGCATCTCAGAGTTGATGTTCACTCTGGGACTCGAACTCAGTACACTCGCTTCAAACGCCATCGCGTTATCCACTCGGCCACTGAGTCCTGAGTTTGAAGCAAGAGTACTGGGTTCGAGTCCCAGAGTGAATATCAACTCTGAGATGCAGGTACATTAAGCTGACGAGTCCCAAATAGGACGAAACGCGCGTCCTGGATTCCACTGCTAGCCACTATCCATCTCTGCTAACCATGCTTGTGAATTAAGGTATATCGAGGCAATACGCACAGTATGGACATATGCCAATTAGAGACTGATTAGTTGCAGTCCTAACAAATCGATGGGAAGATTCAAACAAACAATACTGAATGAATTACTAGACTTAAATAATACAAAATATTTATTGATTGCACTTATTCATTTACATTCAGGACGAAATGAAAGCCGATGAATTGTGGCATATTATGATCTTAGACTCGGATCTAGAATCACTTTTGAATAAAATCCCAAACGTTATACCTCACGTTCAGTAATATAGTGTTGTATTTATTGGTTCTATTTTTCCTTAAACAAGTATATTCCAGTTCACATGGTTATTCTAGAAGTCACCATCAGTTTCAACTTGTATTATAGTATGTTTTCAATTTACTGGTTAAAGATGACTAAATTCCAAAAATTTTGTCATAGAAATGAATTTAGTTCACTGACATTCAAATGATAATCACATTTACTGCAACTGAAATTTTTTAAATTATTATTCGGGCTTCATATTTGCTTAGAATAATTTTTTTAAGCTACATCATGAACATTTCTCAAATTGATCATTTAGAAGTATGAATTAATTGTCAGTCAAGCGAAGCAATGAAATTGTGATTCGTAAATGAACAGAACCAGAAACTATGTGTCGCACTCAAGACTTTCTAAATGGGTATGATATTTGTGATTTATAAATATATTTTAAATACTGAAATTCATTTGTATTTAATATAATCATTTTGTTCATTGTTCCAAATCAAATTATTTAAAATACATGCTCAAGTTTTTATTACTAATAATCCACGTAAAGATTTAAAGTAAACAATTTATTTCGTCCTGTTTTATAAATCAATCTAACGTATCATACTGTATTACTCCAGCTAAAACAGAGTATATATCTAGTTGTATAATTATTTATTAGTTATTATAAGCAAAGTTGGATAGTGGGTAGCAGTGGAATCCAGGACAAGCGTTTCGTCCTATTTAGGACTCGTTAGCTGAATGTATCTGCGTCCTGGATTCCACTGCTAGCCACTATCCATCTTTGCTTATAATGCTTGTGAATTAAGGCAATATCGAGGCAATACGCACAGTATGGACATATGCCAATTAGAGACTGATTAGTTGCAGTCCTAACAAATCGATGGGAAGATTCAAACAAACAATACTGAATGAATTACTAGACTTAAATAATACAAAATATTTATTGATTGCACTTATTCATTTACATTCAGGACGAAATGAAAGCCGATGAATTGTGGCATATTATGATCTTAGACTCGGATCTAGAATCACTTTTGAATAAAATCCCAAACGTTATACCTCACGTTCAGTAATATAGTGTTGTATTTATTGGTTCTATTTTTCCTTAAACAAGTATATTCCAGTTCACATGGTTATTCTAGAAGTCACCATCAGTTTCAACTTGTATTATAGTATGTTTTCAATTTACTGGTTAAAGATGACTAAATTCCAAAAATTTTGTCATAGAAATGAATTTAGTTCACTGACATTCAAATGATAATCACATTTACTGCAACTGAAATTTTTTAAATTATTATTCGGGCTTCATATTTGCTTAGAATAATTTTTTTAAGCTACATCATGAACATTTCTCAAATTGATCATTTAGAAGTATGAATTAATTGTCAGTCAAGCGAAGCAATGAAATTGTGATTCGTAAATGAACAGAACCAGAAACTATGTGTCGCACTCAAGACTTTCTAAATGGGTATGATATTTGTGATTTATAAATATATTTTAAATACTGAAATTCATTTGTATTTAATATAATCATTTTGTTCATTGTTCCAAATCAAATTATTTAAAATACATGCTCAAGTTTTTATTACTAATAATCCACGTAAAGATTTAAAGTAAACAATTTATTTCGTCCTGTTTTATAAATCAATCTAACGTATCATACTGTATTACTCCAGCTAAAACAGAGTATATATCTAGTTGTATAATTATTTATTAGTTATTATAAGCAAAGTTGGATAGTGGGTAGCAGTGGAATCCAGGACAAGCGTTTCGTCCTATTTAGGACTCGTTAGCTGAATGTATCTGCGTCCTGGATTCCACTGCTAGCCACTATCCATCTTTGCTTATAATGCTTGTGAATTAAGGCAATATCGAGGCAATACGCACAGTATGGACATATGCCAATTAGAGACTGATTAGTTGCAGTCCTAACAAATCGATGGGAAGATTCAAACAAACAATACTGAATGAATTACTAGACTTAAATAATACAAAATATTTATTGATTGCACTTATTCATTTACATTCAGGACGAAATGAAAGCCGATGAATTGTGGCATATTATGATCTTAGACTCGGATCTAGAATCACTTTTGAATAAAATCCCAAACGTTATACCTCACGTTCAGTAATATAGTGTTGTATTTATTGGTTCTATTTTTCCTTAAACAAGTATATTCCAGTTCACATGGTTATTCTAGAAGTCACCATCACTTTCAACTTTTATTATAGTATGTTTTCAATTTACTGGTTAAAGATGACTAAATTCCAAAAATTTTGTCATAGAAATGAATTTAGTTCACTGACATTCAAATGATAATCACATTTACTGCAACTGAAATTTTTTAAATTATTATTCGGGCTTCATATTTGCTTAGAATAATTTTTTTAAGCTACATCATGAACATTTCTCAAATTGATCATTTAGAAGTATGAATTAATTGTCAGTCAAGCGAAGCAATGAAATTGTGATTCGTAAATGAACAGAACCAGAAACTATGTGTCGCACTCAAGACTTTCTAAATGGGTATGATATTTGTGATTTATAAATATATTTTAAATACTGAAATTCATTTGTATTTAATATAATCATTTTGTTCATTGTTCCAAATCAAATTATTTAAAATACATGCTCAAGTTTTTATTACTAATAATCCACGTAAAGATTTAAAGTAAACAATTTATTTCGTCCTGTTTTATAAATCAATCTAACGTATCATACTGTATTACTCCAGCTAAAACAGAGTATATATCTAGTTGTATAATTATTTATTAGTTATTATAAGCAAAGTTGGATAGTGGGTAGCAGTGGAATCCAGGACAAGCGTTTCGTCCTATTTAGGACTCGTTAGCTGAATGTATCTGCGTCCTGGATTCCACTGCTAGCCACTATCCATCTTTGCTTATAATGCTTGTGAATTAAGGCAATATCGAGGCAATACGCACAGTATGGACATATGCCAATTAGAGACTGATTAGTTGCAGTCCTAACAAATCGATGGGAAGATTCAAACAAACAATACTAAGTGTATTCACTAGTTAGTTTGATATTTATAAAAAAACAGTCAATTATATTTTAAATGTCAT